CTGCTGAATTGAGTTTGCAAGTATTTTTTTAGAATTTTTGCATCAGTATTCATAAGGAATATCTGTAGCTTTCTTTACTATCTTTGTGTCTTGCTTTGGTATCAGGGTAATGCTGGATTCATAGAATGAGTTAGGAAGTGTTCCTTCTCATTAATTTTTTGGAAGAGTTTGAGAAGGCTTGGTATTAATTCCTTAAATGGTAGAATTTACCAGTTAAGCGATCTGGTCCTAGGTTTTTCTGTTTTGGGAGGGTTTTGACAACTGATTCAGTCTCCTTACTGGTTATAAGTCTGTTCAGTTATTCTGTTTCTTCATTAGTCCATTTTGGTAGATTGTGTTTCTAGGAATTTGTCCGTTTAATCTAAGTTACTCAATTTGTTGGTGTACAGTTGTTTATAGTGTCCTCCTATAATCCACCCCGCACTTTTATTTTGGTCATGCCACATGTGGCTTGTGGGATCTTAGTTCCCCGACCAGGGATTGAACCTAGGCCCTCGGCCATGAAAGTGGAGTCCTACTCACTGGACCACTGGGGAATTCCCTTATAATCCTTTTTATTCGTGTGAAATTGGTAGTAATGTTCCCCCTTTCTGTTTTAAAAATAAATTTAAATTTTATTTATTTTTTTGGCTGCATTGGGTCTTTGTTGTGGTGTGTGGGCTTCTCATTGTGGTGGCTTTTCTTGTTGCAGAGCATGGACTATAGGCAGTGGGCTTCAGTAGTTGCAGCACGTGGGCTCTGTAGTTGTGGTGGGCGGGCTCTAGGGCGCGTGGGCACAGTAGTTGTGGCTCACGGGCTCAGTAGTCGTGGCTCGCAGGCTCTAGAGCACAGGCTCAGTAGTTGTGGTGCATGGGCTTAGTTGCTTTGCGGCATGTGGGATCTTCCTGGACCAGGGCTTGAACCTGTGTCCCCTGCATTGGCAGGTGGATTCTTAACCACTGCACCACTGGGGAAGTCCTCCCTTTTCATTTTTGATTCTAGTAATTTGTTTTCTCTCCTTTTTTTTTTTTCTTGATCAGTTTAGCTAAAGGTTTGTCAATTTTGTTGATCTTTTCAAAGCAACAACTTTTGGTTTCATTAATTTTCTGTATTTTTCTATTTGCTATTTTGTTTATCTCCATTCTAATCTTTATTATTATTGTGTTTTACTCCTGCTATCTTTGGGTTTTATTTGCTCTTTCTTATTCCTTAAAGTGTACACTTAGGTTATTAATTTGACCTTTTTTTCTTTTTAATTTTATGTGCTTGCAGCTGTAAATTTCCCTCTTTGCATTGCTTTTGCAGTATCCCATAAATTTTGGTATGTTGTGTTTTTGTTTTCATTCATCTCAAGGTATTTTCTAATTTCCCTGTGATTTCTTCTTTGACACTTTTGTTGGTTAAGGCTGTTGATTTCCACATATGGATTTTCCAGTTTTCTCTTGGGATGTTGATTTCTCATTTCATTCCATTGTGATTGGAAAAAATTATTTGTAAGAGGTCAGTTCTTTTTAAATTATTAAGACTTGTTTTGTGGTCTTACATATAGTCTCTTCTTGCGAAATGTTCCATGTATACTTGAAAAGAATGTATATTCTGCTCTTGTTGGATGGAGTGTTCTCTGTGTGTCTTTTAGATCTAATTGGTTTGTAGTGTTGTTCAACTCCTCTGTTTCCTTATTGATTTTCTTTTCAGTTGTTCTATCCATTATTGAAAGTTGGGGTAAAGAGTTTCTGTTTAGGATAATGAAATTCTGGAAATAGATAGTGTTGATGGTTACACAACATTGTGAATGTACTGAATCCCACCGAATTTCACACTGAAAAATGGTTAAAATAGTTAAAAGTTATGAATGTAAAAGAAAGAATCAGAACTCCAAGAAAAGTCTAAGACTGTGAAAAAAAAATGGCCATTTGGAAAATGAACAAAGGAACTACTGGAAATAAAAATTACAGTTATTGAATTTTAAAACTTAGTAGATGAGGTAGAGTGAAATTTAGACACAGCTAAAGATAGAATTAATAAACTGGAATATCTGACAGGATAATCAATAATGAAGCTCTTAGAAATAAGACTAGAATTAGAAAATTTTACATGTATGTAAAAGGAGTTTCAATAAAAGAGAATAGAAGGGACTTCCCTGGTGGTCCAGTGGTTAACATTCTGCACTTCCACTGCAAGGGGTGCGGGTTCAACCCCTGGTCAGGGAACTAGGATCCTGCATGGCATGCGGTGCAGCCAAAAAAGAAAAAAAAAAAAATGTGTATGTGTGTACATATACACACACACATATATATAAAAGAAAAAGAAAATACAAAGGTAATATTCAGAGGGATGAGGCTAGGATCTTACAAATAAATGAAAGACATGACCACTCAGATTCAGAAAGCCCAATGAAGAATACCAAAGACCAAAAGATTTTAAAGCAACTAGAGTGGGACTTCCCTGGTGGCGCGGTGGTCGAGAATCTGCCTGCCAATGCAGGGGACATGGGTTTAAGCCCTGGTCCGAGAAGATCCCACATGCCACGGAGCAACTGAGCCTGTGCGCCACAACTGCTGAGCCTGCGCTCTAGAGCCTGTGAGCCACAACTACTGTGCCCGTGTGCCACAACTACTGAAGCCCCTGTGCCTAGAGCCCATGCTCCGCAACAAGAGAAGCCACCACAGTGAGAAGCCTATGCACCACAAAATGAAGAGTGGCCCCGGCTTGCTGCAACTAGAGAAAGCCCGCGTGCAGCAACGAAGACCCAACGCAACCTAAATAAGTAAATAAATAAATAAACAAAACCACTCAAAAAATAGTAATAAAAGGCAACTAGAGTAAAAAAGATTCCTTCAAATTAACATAGCATGCTTTGCCACAGCATCAGTAGAGGCCAGATAATAGTAGAAAATGTCTTCAGAGAACTTCTGTAAACCTAGAAATATTGACCAAAATAAACAATTTTGGAGGGCAAAAGGGCAAACAGAAATTCTGGGTAACATGTAGATGGAAGGCAATAATTGAAGTTAGTATTTTAAGTTTCTTATACTGTTTGGAAATAGGGAAGGATGATAGACTTAAAATTGATGGTGCATATATTTTCATATCAATAAGTATTTTATTTTATTATTATTATTTTAAATTAATTAATTTTTTTGGGTTGTGCTGGGTGTTCGTTGCTGTGTGCAGGCTTTCTCTAGTTGCTGCGAGCAGGGGCTACTCTTCGTTGCTGTGCGTGGGCTTCTCATTGTCATGGCTTCTCTTGTTGCAGAGCATGGGCTCTAGGTGCATGGGCTTCAGTAGTTGTGGCACATGGGCTCTAGAGCACAGGCTTAGTAGTTGTGGTGCAAGGGGCTTAGTTGCTCCGCAGCATGTGGGATCTTCCTGGACCAGGGATTGAACCCGTGTCCCCTGCATTGGCAGGCAGATTCTTAACCACTGCACCACCAGGGAAGCCCCTCAATAAGTATTTTAAAACAAAATTTCTCAAAATGTGTTTTCAGAGTGTTAGTTTTTTAAAAAAAAACTTTAAAACTTGAAATATATAGGAGAATGACACCATGACCCTAGGGAAGAGTTTCTTAAGATAAAGTGCACAACGTTTAAAAGAAAATATTGCTAAGTATGATTATATAAAAATTAAGAACTTGTGCTTATCATGAAACACTGGTAAAAGACATGAGTATTTCACAGAAAGTGGAAGTATGAATGGTCAGAAGGCAAAAAAAATGCTGAACTTCATTAGTAAATGAGAAAATTCAAGTTAAATGAAATGTTAATTTTTTATACCCACCAGACTACAAAAAATTAAAAGTCTGATAGTGGCCAAGTGTTGGTAAAGATGTAGGAAAAAAGAACTATTTGCTGTAGGAAATGTGAATTGTCATTTTGGAAAATAGTTTGGCCTCCTCTAGTAAAGTTGAGCAAACACACCTGTGACTTAGTACTGTTCCTAGGTGTCTACTTTAGGGACATGCTTGCACAAAAATAAGTATAGTTAAGTCAACAGAATAGCAGCAGCAGAATATGGAGATGAAGAGCATTTGGAGGTGCACTGCCTAGGATAAGATACCAGCTTTGCCACTTACTGGTTTTGTGACTTTTGGTAAGTTACTTAACCTCATTTTGACAGTTTTCTCTTCTGTAAATATAGTACTTACCTAATCATATAGGGTTGATATGAGGATTAAATGTTATGTGTAAAGCCTGTCTTATATTGAGTGCTATTTGTGACAATTACATGTAACCATATAGATGAATGTAAAAAACATAATGTGTAAAAGAAACAAGTTGCAGAAAAATACATATGGCACCACACAATTTATACAGTTCAAAGCATATAACGTTTAACAAAAGCCTTATAAGAAAATTATTAAAATTTAATAGTGCAGGTACCCTTTGGGGAGGGAGGAGGTGGGTGGTATAGGGAGGGGGGACACATGGGAGGTTTCTGTTTCTTAAACTCAGTGGTAAATCACAGAGGTGATTTTCATTTTCTTTGGACTGTACATGTTTATGTATTTTATTTCATAATAAAAATTAAAAATAAGGGTGGGATATGTGGAGTTAAATACTTGTTCGATGGAGGACTTCTCAGAGCACTGATAATGTTAATTGTGCATTGTGAACTTCAAGGAGAGATATAGAATTTTTAGGGCTCCCCACTTGGTCATGGAACCTTTTGGGTCTTAACAGCTAAAGTAGGACTACATTATGTGATTGTTGATCTTTAGCTTGAGTTTTAGTGGAATAGGATTCTGTTTCACAGTGCACAGATATTTTAACTAAACCACCTACTATTGTACATTGAGTTCACTTGGATTTTTTAATCTTATGAGCAATATTGAAATGTTTTATTAAAAAATTTTTTTTACAAGACTGAAGTCTTTGCTTATATCTTTAATTATGAATTTTTTCCCCCTGAATTGTGCTATTTCATTTCCTTTACTATAGGAAGGAATTGTTGAGAATCTTTTCAAATGGGCCCGAGAGGCTGATCAGCCACTGAGGACATATTCCACTGGTCTATTAGGAGGTGCTATGGAAAATCAAGACATTGCTGCCAACTACAGGGATGAAAATTCACAGCTGGTAAGGACCATGTTAGAATGATTTTTTTTTGCATAAGTTGGGAGTGTATTCACTCGTTCTTTCTTGCTACTGAACTTGAATAGGTAGATCTTATTTGTTACCTTGTACTAGAGTATAGCTATAATTTCAGTATTTCAAGACTACTTTTCATAAGAGTTTTGATTGGACCTTTTTTTTTTTTTACTAGAAAATAGCTGTTTTTCATCTTGTCAAGGATCAGGATATTTTGTACCAGATAAATAGTACCATTCCCTTTCCCTTCCCAACATCTGGATTATGAAAAATTTCAAACGTTTAGCAAAGTATCATTTTACAGTGAAAACCTGTATACACACCACTTACATTGATTGTGAATATTTTACTAAACTTATATTCATGAATACCCATCCATCCATTCACCCCTCGTTATATCCATCCACCATTCTTTTTTTTTTTTTTAATGCAGATTGAAATAAATTGCAGACCTAATCACTCTCTTTTTTTAAAACTAAGCATAACACTACAGTTTAGGCTTGGCCCAAAAAATGAGTACTTAAAGGAAAAGGTAAAACAGAAGTGGTGAACTTGAAAATTAAATTATGTAATTATGTATAATGTGGATGACAGTATTTAACAGAATGCAACTTATGGCAGATAAAAGTTTCAGAAACATTCATGTTTGATTTTCAGACACTTTTTAAAAATTGTGAATATATCTAGTGTCTGCCTCTTCAGGTGTGATGGTCCACCCCAGCTTGATCCAGCCAGATATGTTGTGAATTAGGTGTTTTATGTGCAAATCTTCTGGTTTGGGTTCTCTGGGAAATTTTATGGGGAATGAGACTTTTAGCCATTATTTATTTCATCAAGCTGTAGGAATCAAATCTTTACTATTACCAGGCATTGAAATAATTGCATGAGTGTCCTTAAGTGGAAGTAAGAATTATTTGAATCATTTAAATTAAGATGCAGAAGAGACAACCCCTTTTATTCCAATATCTGTTGATAGGTGGCAATAGTACTTCGAAGACTGAGGGAGCTACAGCTTCAGGAAGTAGCTTTGAGGCAAGAAAGCAAGCGTCCTAGCCCACGAAAGCTCTCCTCTGAACCCCTTTTGCCTCTGGATGAAGAAGCTGTGGATATGGACTATGGCGACATGGCTGTAGATGTAGTGGATGGCGAACAAGAGGAAGCTTCTGGAGACATGGAGATCTCCTTTCATCTTGATTCAGCCCACAAGACCAGTAGCAGAGTGAACTCAGCAACTAAACCTGAGGAAGGAGGATTGAGGAAAAACAAGTCAGCAAAACAGGGTGACAGAGAGAGCTTTAGGAAAGCCAAGCAAAAGTTGGGTTTCTCATCATCTGATCCAGATCGCATGTTTGTTGAGCTGTCTAACAGCAGCTGGTCAGAAATGTCCCCCTGGGTGATTGGCACCAATTATACCCTTTATCCTATGACTCCTGCTATCGAGCAGCGACTTATTCTCCAGTATCTGACCCCTTTAGGAGAATATCAGGAGGTAAGCTTATTGGGAAGAGTAGTGTTCACATTTTGGGACCACTGTGTTTATTTCTGGGATATTTTGTGGTGTCATTTTATACATTGATGTGTTTTTACACTAATATAGAAAAGTCTTTGCCTCAAACTGGTAAAGTCTTATGGAGGTCACTCCTGATGAGGCCTTTTCGATCAAAGTGTGTTTGTATGTTTATCTTCATAAAGCGGGGGGAAGAGGCACCTCATTTCTTTAATCTTCTATCCTCATAAAGAAATAGGAAATATGTGAAAATAAATACAAATGTTAAGACTTGTTTTTGGTGTTGATTTCAGTTACTTCCCATATTCATGCAACTTGGATCACGGGATTTGATGATGTTCTATATTGACTTGAAACAGACTAACGATGTCCTACTTACATTTGAGGCACTCAAGGTAAAGTTCTTAAAAATGTTAGATCACTGAGCATTTTTTTGACATGGATGTGCCTATATGTTTTGTTGTGTAGCATCTCTGGATTTTATTGTTCAGGGTGGTGCTTTTTTAAAAAATAAATTTATTTTATTTATTTATTTATTTATTTGGCTGCATTCGGTCTTTGTTGCTGCATGCGGGTTTTCTCTAGTTGCAGCGAGTGGGGGCTACTCTCTGTTGCGGTGCGCGGGCTTCTCCTTGCGGTGGCTTCTCTTGTTGCGGAGCACAGGCTCTAGGCGCGCAGGCTTCAGAAGTTGTGGCTCGCAGGCTCTAGAGTGTGTGCTCAGTAGTTGTGATGCATGGGCTTAGTTGCTCCGTGGCATGTAGGATCTTCCCGGACCAGGAATAGAATCCGTGTCCCCTGCATTGGCAGGTGTATTCTTTTTTGTTGTTGTTGTTTTTTACATTAATTAATTATTTTTTGGCTGTGTTGGGTCTTCGTTGCTGCATGCAGGCTTTCTCTAGTTGCGGTGAGTGGGGACTACTCTTCTTTGCAGCACATGGGCTTCTTGTGGTGGCTTCTCTTGTTGTGGAGCATGGGCTCTAGGCGCTTGGGCTTCAGTAGTTGTGGCACGTGGGCTCAGTAGTTGTGGCGCACGAGCTTAGTTGCTCCGTGGCATGTGGGATCTTGCTGGAATAGGGATCGAACCTGTGTCTTCTGCATTGGCAGGCGGATTCTAAACCACTGTGCCACCAGGGAAGTCCCAGCAGGCAGATTCTTAACCACTGTGCCACCAGGGAAGTCCCCAGGGTGTTTCTATTGCCAGATGTGTCAGTCATGACAAATGAAAATTTCTTTTTTAGATAGAAAAAATGAGGCTTACCAAGTGCCTCCACAGAAATTCAGGGGTCAGTCCTAGAGGATTGAATGTTAAGGGAGAAAGTGGATCTAGACCTGAGAGTGGCCTCAGTTATTGTTACTGGATAGGAAGAGAAACTAAGTGTATAGTACCTTAGGTCATACTACCTTTTAAGTATTCTGTCAGCCAACAACACTTCTTTTCAGTTATTAACTATATACATGTTGTATGATGTTAGATTATTTAGAGTGAACAAAATATAAATCAGAAAATGAGTAAAGAAATAGAGGCATACTCAAATTCAGTAAAGGTAAATGATTTTCTAGGTTGCAAAGGGGCTAAATGTAGGAGGGCAGGTATGTCTAGCCCACCGAATCCATACCTTTTCATGATAATTAAGGTAATCTGAAGGGAGAGAGGTTAAGTGGAATGAATAATTTTGTGGCTATTATAGTTCTACCCAACGGGTAACTAAATGAACACAGTACTATTCTGTGATGTTTACAATATTAGACAAATAAATTAAGTCTCTGCTGTTTATTGTTTGGTTAAGAGAGACAGGCATGTAAGCCTATGATTTCTTTTAGATATTATAGATGTTGTAAAAAAAGTATGGGGCACAAAGGAAGAAATGGTCTGTTCTCCTTGAGAAATAGTAGCTTCTAGACAAGACCTCTGAAAAAGAGGTAATATTCTCACTGGCTGTTCAAAGTTACAATTTCATTCCTGATATTCCAGAGCCATGCCAATAGAACTTTCTGTGACGATGGAAATGTTCTTTGTGCTGTACAAAACAGTGGCTACTAGCCATATGTGAGCACTTAAAATGTAGCTAGTGCCTCTGAGGCATTGAATTTTTAACTAAGTTTTAATTAAATTAGCCACATGTGGCCAGTGACTAGTGCCTTGGACAGCACAGTTCCAGAGTATATTGAAATTAAATAGAAATAAGGAAATTTGCCTTTCAAACCCCAGAAATTTTAAGTTTGGAGGAGGTCAGACATAAATTGGAGTAACATGTATTCTTATGTATGGGATGCAGTGTGTGTGTGTGTGTGTGTGTGTATAAAGTGTGTAAACTCATGATTATACTTTGAACAGTGAGATGAAGCTGGAGGTCAGAGTTGTCTCCAGTGACCCAAAGGTATTGCTTTCAGATGCAGCATCCTGTCCTGAAAAGGAAATAGTGAAGAAGGGATTTGGGCAGTTGCTATTTCTGTAGGTCTTTGTATGAGGAACTGTAATGGGTGTCATTATTCAGCTGTTTTCTGTGCAGACTCATAAGGGATTAAAGAAAATGAAATAAGGATGAACAGGGAAAAATCAGACGAGATCCTTCTTATAGGGAAATAAAAAGTATAGAAAGTTATGTGTACTGTTTTGTTCTAAAGGAAGTCTCAGTTGTGTAGGAGAAGGAACAGGTGTTGAAGTTAGTATTTGGTTGGCCAAAATGTTCTGGTTTTTCTGTAAGATCTTATAGATCAATAGAAACAAAATGGGATAAAATAGTAAATTAAGAACTAGAACCTTATATGGAGGTACAATACAAGGAGAGAAAATAGAATCTTTGCCCATATGAGTGAGGTGAGCCAGGTTATGGGCTGTGTTGAGCCAAGTAGAATTAAGGTTCTTGGTAAAGATTGAGCCTGTTTGTTCTCCATTTCCCTACCTACTGATCTGGCAGTGGAACTGCCACTTTATGGTAGTAACATTATTGGATAAAGCACGTGCAGTGGCCTAAGTATTGGGGAGGAAACCATACATAGTTTAGTTGTTTCTTGGGGAAAGACTTGGGAATGTGGTAGAGGTTTGTGTATCAGCCAAGTAAAGAGTGAAGGGATTTGAATTATATATAAGGGTTAGTCTGAGTCTCTGTGTTAAGAGAACTTCTGAAGAGGGTACATACATGTTGTTTTTGCCATTGACCTTGGTGAAATTTATACAGGTATCAAATCATGTAATTACAAATCTGTGTTGTCTGTACCTGCTGCCTGTATCACCACCCAGAAGACACCTTGACATGAGAAACAGGAGGCCAACAGAAACAGGAGGCTCCAGTTCTCCTGAGGCCTCATCCATGTTGGCCTGGGTTCAAAGTCATTGAGTAGCCTGCTGCTTGCATTGCACTCCTTGCCCTTAAAATTGCCCAGAAGGTGAGGTCCACCCAGAGAGGCTAGTAAGAATTGAACAGCAAGTTAACAAAACTTGATAACAAAGGCCTAATAGAGACTTAATAAAATAGTTCATTAATAAAGGTCTATTTAAAGTGCATTCTCATTAGTTCTAAAAATTTACAAAGTTTGATAATTTGCTGAAGACTTTTCTTTGGGGATATATTGAGGATCAATTTAAAAGAAAGCAGAGTTTTGGATTTTATTAGATGATGAGTCAGTGACTGAGCCAAAACTGAAACATAGAGCTGATGATGTTAAAAGGATTAAAATGGGAAGGGTAACAAAAATCCTTTAGGGAAGCTATGTAATAATAAAATGGTGTAGGATTATGTCATTATGTACAGCAATATTCTTCATTTCTTGTTTTTCACCCTCATGAAAACCTTTGGTATTAGGAGGGAATATTATGGAATCCTAGAGTTTGTTTGTTTTGTTTTTGTTTTTTGTTTCCCTTAAGCAGTATTGGTTTTACTTCTGTTTTGAGGGAGTGGTTGACTGCTTCAGAGGAGTCTTTGTGTTTAGCAACTGTGAAGAGATGTTTGTTCTAGATTTTTCCACGGTGATGTGTGTCCTCTTTGTTTAGCACCTAGCATCTCTCCTGCTCCATAACAAGTTTGCCACAGAATTTGTTGCACATGGTGGAGTACAGAAATTACTGGAAATTCCTCGTCCTTCTATGGCTGCAACTGGTGTATCCATGTGCTTGTATTACCTGTCCTACAACCAGGATGCCATGGAAAGAGTAAGTCCAGTCCATTCAGATGTATGGGAATGGGATAGGGTGGGGAATATTCTAGTACATTCACAGGAAAACTTTTGGATAAGAAAAAATGAATAGGTGGATTAGGTTTTAATGAAAGAAGCAAGGAGCATGAATCTTTACAGAGCATTCCAAAAATGTAAAATTCTTTAGAAAAGATCCAAAATGTAACATTTTGTAGTCCTTTTTTTCCTGACTCTCTGAAAGAAAAAAATCCAACAAAAAACCCAAGATGGATTGGGGTCACAGAGCTTTTTTTTAGTTTTTGCCATTTTTACTGCATTAGAATTATTTTCAGGCTCTTTTCAGATGTCCCTCAGTGGAGTTATATTTTGCATTTTTGAGTCAGTCTATTATAAAAACAACAGATTGTGTTTTGTGTATTTGTGTTAACAAATAGTTTGTGGTAGAGACAGTAAAATCATTCCAGTTGTTCTCAGGGCTCCAGAGAAAAACATGGTAGCGTGGCAGCTACCCTCTGGTAGCTGGTTTTCTGGGTTTTTCCAGCTAAGACTTTTTATTTAGTGATTTTTTAAAAAAGTGTAAGTGGGTTGTACATTCGAAAAGAAAAGGGTCCCTAGACACCACTAGGGAAGCTCTTGTCATTTCTATGCCTGGAATATTTTCTAATATTCTATGTGGTGTGGCTTTTCTGGTAGAGTGAAGTTGGTAAATTCTTCTTGGGTGGTGTCTTTATTCATCTTTGTATATTTACTAATAGGGTAATATTTTGATTTTAATTTTTTTAACTGCTTAAGATTCAGCATTATGCAAGGATATGTAATCTTTTGAGAGTAGTAACCTAATCTGTGTGTGTATGTACAAAATTAATTGTGGTTAAGATAAAAAAGTATCAAACAAACCTGGGTAATGCTTCAGAATTCATTGTCTGACTTACAGGAGACAACAAAACGTGTGTGAACGAATCAGTGAGTGAATGGATATTAAACTTGTAGCCTTTAGTATCAGAAGGCTCAGTCACTTTTATCAGCCTGGGGAAGTCCCTTATGTCTGTGAGCCACTTCTTTACCTGTTAGGTGGGAATACTAATATGTGTGTAACAGAGCGTTGTGAGCATTAAAGGATATAAATATTTGCAGAATTTAGCTCTCAGTATGTTTAGGTGGAATTTAAATATTTCTTTAAATTTAGGTTGTTTTCAGGCTTGGAATAGATTGTTTTAAAGTATCATTTGTAAATTAAGCTTTAAACTCAGAATGACTTGCCCAGGAGTGATTATTGTATTTTGCAAAGATATCTATCTACACTGTGAATTTTTCTTCCCTTTTGTGAAGGTTCCTTTCCCCCAGATTTTTAAAAATTACGTTTTATTTTTATTTTTTGCAGGTTTGCATGCATCCCCACAACGTTCTGTCTGATGTGGTGAACTACACACTGTGGTTAATGGAATGTTCTCATGCTTCAGGATGCTGCCATGCTACCATGTTTTTCTCAATCTGCTTCTCCTTCCGGGCTGTATTGGAACTCTTTGACCGCTATGATGGTCTTCGTCGTCTGGTGAACTTGGTGAGGTTCTTCAGTGGCTTCTCTTTGTGAAAAGCAGGGGTCCTGCTTGTCTGGGCTGCCCTTCAGTGGCATTGAAGAGAGGAAGCTTCTGACTGGAGGAATTTTGCTATCATTTTTATGGATGAAGTCTTTTTTCCTCCTTCATTTACAAGTTTCTTTTCCTCTTAAGAGGACTATACCATTGTAGACTTGCCTTGAATATAGTAATCTTACAGGAGGAATTGCTTGATCCTTCTAAAAAAAGCAAGTTTTGTGTCTCTGTGTCTTCCAGCATGATTGAAAACTATGTAATTTTTCAATATAGGTTTAATGTTTTGCTTTCATATGGCTACTCTTAGCATGTTGTATGGACAGATGTACTTTGATGTTTGTCAATCTTCATGAGCACAAAAGTTGATTGAAGTCTTTCTCCTCTCCTTTTACTTTTCCCTTCCTCTTTGTTCTTCCTCCTCTTTTGCCCCATTCTTTTGCCTCTTTCTTAATAGATCAGTACTTTGGAGATTCTAAATTTGGAAGATCAGGGTGCACTTCTGAGTGATGATGAAATATTTGCTAGCCGCCAAACTGGGAAACATACATGCATGGCCTTGCGCAAGTACTTTGAGGCTCACCTGGCCATTAAATTGGAACAAGTGAAGCAGTCACTTCAGAGGACTGAGGGTGGCATTCTTGTTCATCCTCAACCCCCTTACAAGGTGAGAGAACCTTGTCTAAAAAGGAAATGTTGTTAGCACTGTCTGTAGCATCTTGGGCCTGAAACGCACATTCATATCAGTGGAGTCCATGTGGGATGTACATTGTTGGATTATACTTGCACTGTGTGGAGGCAGAATACTTGAAAAGGGATGTAGGGAATTCCCTGGTGGTCCAGTGGTAGAACTTGACATTTACACTGCAGTGGCTTGGGTTTGATCCCTGGTTGGGGAACTAAGATCCTGCAAGTCACACGGTGTGGCCAAAAAAACAAAAAAACAAACAAACAAAAAATGGATATATTGAGGACTTATTTTGCTCCCAGTTGTAAGTTTCTATCTCTGGGATACTAGAACTAAAAGATGAACTGGGATGTCTGTAAAAGGGCTTTCTTTTATGGAAAGTACTAGATATTCTGCCTTCTTCTGTGTGGAATTTTTTTTCTGAAAGGGTGCATCTATAATTCCACTTCACTATCATTTTTGAACTTAGTATGTTTTGTAACAAAGATTAGTATCTGCGTGTTTTAAAAATCACAAATTGGAAAGAAACCAATTATTTTACGTGGTGCTTCTTTTTCTTTTTAAGCTGTGAAATATATGCACCAGTGATTTGAACATTTTGTTACCTTTTTGGGAAAAATGTATTATGAGTCTAGTTATAAATAAAATAAAAGATTAAACATCATTTATATATATTCATTGTTTCACATGTGGGCTGTGGACTCAAGAAGTGTGGGATTTGAAAGCTGTTATTACTTATCTTTATTATTAAAATCTGTTGACCACTGAGCTGTGCTAGAGAAGATAGCAGGCAGATTGAGTTCTTTAATAATATGTATCTTTGGGCTTCCCTGGTGGTGCAGTGGTTAAGAAGCTGCCTGCCAATGCAGGGGACACGGATTTGAGCCCTGGTCCGGGAAGATCCCACATGCTGCAGAGCAGCTAAGCCCGTGTGCCACAACTACTGAGGCTGCAAGTCACAACTACTGAGTGCACGAGCCTAGAGCCCATGCTCCGCAACAAGAGAAGCCACCGCAATGAGAAACCTGCGCACTGCAACGAAGAGTAGCCCCCACTCACCGCAACTAGAGAAAGCCCTCGCGCAGCAACAAAGACCCAATGCAGCCAAAAATAAATAAATTAAAAAAAAATAATAATAATATGTATCTCTCCTTTTAGGCATGTTCATATACTCATGAACAGATTGTGGAAATGATGGAGTTTTTGATAGAATATGGCCCAGCGCAGCTATATTGGGAGCCAGCTGAAGTCTTCCTCAAACTTTCTTGTGTCCAACTCTTGTTGCAGCTTATTTCTATTGCTTGTAATTGGAAGACCTATTATGCAAGGTGGGACCATGAAGTTAAGAGTCTGCTTTTTGCTAAAGTTTATGTTGGTTTTCACAGTAGTGTATGCTTAACAAACATTTGTTGAATTGAATTGACATTTTGGACTTGAATCTGAGAAACTAGATTAAGCATGATAATTAAGCATGATAATATCATTTTAAATTTATAGAGTGCATGGTCATGGTGATTATAAATACTGCAAAATAGGCAAGGATCATTATCTGTACTCTTAGAGAAGTTAAATAATCTACATGGCTACAGCTGCAGAGGTGGGGTTGAAATCCTGTCTGGACACTGGAGTCCAGTATTCTTTGGTACTTAGACTTCTGTTGCTTGACAACTATATATAATATTTATCTTACCTTCACATAAAACTGTATTTTTTGCTCTTGTTATGATTTTCACCATTCAGTTGAAAACAGCAAAGCGGGACAAGGCTCAGGGAAAAACAGGTAATGGAATCAGGAGGTTGGGTAGGTTCTATTTGAGGATGATGTAAAAAGAATTAAAACTATATTTTGGAAAAGATGGAGTCTGAAGGGAAGATAGTAACAAAATTTATGAACAGTGGTTCTTGACCTTTCCCTATCCACCCACTGCCATAAAGACAAGAGGTGCTTATTTAGGGTGCATATAGCTTGTTTGCTAAATCCCAGGATAATTAAATCTAGAGGAACACCTTTGGAGTGGCCATCTTCAAACTTTTTGGTCTCAAGATCCCTTTACTGTATTAAAAATTATTAGAACCCCAAAAAGCTTTTGTTTTTACATCTTGATATTTAACATTGGAAATTAAAACTGAGAAAATATAAAAATATTTATTTATTTTAAAATAATCTGAACCCATTACTTATTAGCATTTTTTATGAAAGGTTTCCAAAATAAAACTAGGTGATTTCAGCAAGTTTTTAAAATGTCTGGTTTAATATCTCATATCTGCTTCTATATTCAGTCTTTTGTGACATCACACATGACAAGCCTCTGGAAAGCTCTACTATACACTCTTGAGAGAATGAGAGTGAGGAAGGAAAATAACATCTTAGTGTTATTATAAAAATAGTTTTTATATCAGCACCTTTTGAAAGAGGCTCAGAGACTCCTAGGGACCCCTAACCACACTTCAAGAACCACTGTTTTAGAGTATTAAGGTAGGTTATATTTACTTGGAGAACATTGCTTTAAAGATGATGGAAACTCAGAAGATAATGAGGAAGGTTATAAATACATTTTTTGAGTGGTAAATTCATATTTGATTACATAAGAAAATATAAATATGTCCTTTAAAAGCTTAACTTTAAAAATACTTGTTTTTGCTTAGAATATATAAAACCTTAGAAATGAAAATTATTCTTAGCCACTGTTAATTTCTTTAGTCTTTTTTCCATAATGTATGTAAATATACATAATTGAGATTATAGTATTTAATCAAACTCATCTTTTAGATGAAATATCTCAAAATACATAAAGATCCAGAGAATAATATAACAACTACTCCATACCCAGGGTTGGCATGTTGCTGTATTTGCTTCTTTTTCAGTTCCTTTCCATTTTCTGCCTCCTGAGAGTGACCAGTCTTCTGAACTTGGTGTGCATTCTCTCCATTCATTTTTTTATGCTATACATATGTGTGGGTGTGTAAACAATAATATATTATTCTTTTGTATGTTTTAAAGTTATATAAAGTATTATCCTGTGTACGTCTTTTGCAGCTTGCTTTTTTCACCCTTATTTATTTACTCTTTTAATAAAAGTTTCAGGTATATAGCCACCCTTACGTGTTTTGAGATTTATGTGTTGATATTTATTTGAACTCTTGTATTTCTGTACTGTAGTTTATTCTCCTATTGATGAACATTTAGTGTCTTTTGTTTCTTTTTTTCCTGTTAAATGAATGGTACCACAAACCTCTTTTTGGAGTCTCTCTTGAGGATATGATGTGTATAACCTGGGTTGTAGTGTGTCTTCATTTCATCTATAGTGGATGTTGCCAAGTTGCTTGGAAAATGCTCATACTATTTTCTTCTCCCACTGCAGTCTATGGGAGTTTTCATTTTTATTCCTTCTTGCCAATACTTGGTATTGTCAGATTTAAAATTTTATATCTTAGTTTTCAATTTCATTAATGTTGTATTTGGAGCCTTTTCATTTGTCCTTTATTTATTTATTTAATTTTTACATCTTTATTGGAGTATAATTGCTTTACAATGGTGTGTTAGTTTCTGCTTTACAACAAAGTGAATCAGTCATACATATACATATGTTCCCATATCTCCTCCCTCCCCACCCTCCCTATCGCACCCCTCCAGGCCGTCACAAAGCACTGAGCTGATCTCCCTGTGCTATGCAGCTGCTTCCCACTAGCTATCTGCCTTACGTTTGGTAGTGTATATATGTCCATGCCTCTCTCTCGCTTTGTCACAGCTTACCCTTCCCCCTCCCCATATCCTCAAGTCCATTCTCTAGTAGGTCTGTGTCTTTATTCCTGTCTTACCCCTAGGTTCTTCATGACATTTTTTCCCCTTAAATTCCATATATATGTGTTAGCATACGGTATTTGTCTTTCTTTTTCTGACTTACTTCACTCTGTATGACAGACTCTTGGTCTATCCACCTCATTACAAATAGCTCAATTTCGTTTCTTTTTATGGCTGAGTAATATTCCATTGTATATATTTGCCACATCTTCTTTATCCATTCATCTAATGATGGACACTTAGGTTGTTTCCATCTCCGGGCTATTGTAAATAGAGCTGTCATTTGTCCTTTAGAGTTCTTTGAAAATAATTGTCAGTAGCTGCAAAGTAGTTCATCATATGCGTGTACCATAATTTGACACATATATTCCTTTTGTCTGTGTAAGTTTTCTTAATTCTTTTGCTGTCCATGATGTGTTAATGGACATCTTAATACATAAATACTTGTTTGTATTGAATACTTCTGATTATTTCCTTAGGACAGATTCCTAGAGGTGAAATTCCTGGGCCAAAGGTTATGAACGTTTTAAGAACTTTGTTTCATATTTCCAAATTATTTTCTGAAAAGAGTATCCTTATTTCTACTCCCACCAAAAGTTTGAGAGCATTTGTCTCTACATCTTCATCAGCATTGGGGATTATCCCTTGTTTTTAATCTTAGCAGTCTGAGGTGAAAATTCCATCCCAGTGTTTTTTGAAATTAAAGTTGTGATGACTTATAGGCCCTCTCCTGATGCCATGGCTAGGGACAGAGCCATAGTCCCTACTATATCAGTAGTAGTTCTGATCCATTGTCTCTCTCTTTTAGCTGTTGTTGTTTCTTGTGGCTGTATCCTAGTTTCCCTTTGACTAATTCTTCTTCCTGTCCAGGAATGACACTGTGCGCTTTGCTTTGGATGTCTTGGCTATTCTCACTGTTGTGCCAAAAATTCAGCTCCAGTTGGCAGAATCAGTGGATGTGCTGGATGAGGCTGGCTCCACCGTCTCCACTGTAGGTAGGTTGTACCTTGCCATTTTTGTTATTACGTGCTCTTTGTTTTCCTTTGCCATTCTGGTTGTTACTTACCTGACCTAATTTTACAGTATTAGAACAGAAGGTAGTAGAGGAGGGTACCTTGTAAGTCTTATAAGTCATGCCATCAGTTTCATATAAGGGAGTCATGGTAATGAATTCAGGTTTCTGGGTGGTATAGGCATTTCCGCTATAATTGTACATGTGCATTCCTGGAAACCTTGTCCTCTGCAGAGTGTTGTGCTAAAAATAGAATTTATGAGAAAAATAGATTGGGGCAGACAGTAAAAAACTTTAGCAACTTTGTAATCTGAGCCCTAACAAAATTAGTAATTGCCAAGCAGTGCAGAATGGATAGAAGCTATTATACACAAAAACAAAAGGAAAATACACTTTGTTTGAAAATACCCTTTATTAAGAGCAGGGCTGTTGAGGGCTACTGCTAAGGTGAACATGGCAAGTTGTGTGACTGGCTGTGGGCCCTAGGGTGTACCACTCTGGGGAGAAAGCCCAAGGCATAGCCACTTGTTTTTAACTTGCTGCCACTATAGCAG